AATTATTCCTTCATGGGTGGGTACTGAAACAGGATACTTTTGGCTGCAAGTAACAGAAAACCCAAATCCAATACTCTTAACTGTAAGGAGAAGATACCATCTCATAGAATTAGGAGGTAGAATGGTCTTAGTGTTTAGTTAATTTCTGGCTTAACCACATCGCCATGGCACAGGGTGCTCTCCATCTTTCTGCTCCACCAACCTTGGCTTTGGAAGCTTGTCAGCTTTTAACCCTGGTTAGATCCCTTTCATGACTGATGCCTGCAGGGGCCCAGAAGCCACCAACAGACATAACGATGACCAGGAGAGCAAGAGGGACATTTTCTTTCTAAGTAACATGTTTTATTAGCAATAAAACAGTGCAGTAATATTTAGTGTGAATCGACCAAGTCAGTATGTTTTTATGGTTGTGGAACTTTCTTTACCCTCAGGTTTTAGTTGAAATATTACTCAAATAAAATCTAGGTCCCATGTGGTTGTTGCAAAGAAATTCAGTTCAGCAAATAAAATTAAAACTAACTCCAAATGAGTATTGAGCATTGTTTAAAGGGTCAATTTGTTATCATAAGAAGCCTGACCCAACCCACCCCCATTCCGCCAGTCCCATTCATTTTGTTCTGCATGCCTCTGCTTCCCTCCTCTTTCTTTCTCAAAGTTGAGAGGAAGCTGTTCTCATTGACACTATCCACTCCTCAATATTCTACTCTTCCTACTGTCAACCTGCTGTTTTTCTTCCTTCCCTATGTTTCTCTTTTATTTAAATCCTCTATCGCCTTCTTTGAGATTCTCCCCCAGAATGAGTCTAAAGGGCACAGCAGAGCCCAGGAAGGTGTCTGTGTATGGTGGGAAGCAGGAGGTGGGATAGGATGGGGATAATCACACGTAATGGTATTTCTATGTACACCTTTCTTTTAGTCTTCCAGGAAAGAGATCTGGGAATAATCATCAGCTTTTCCTTTCCTTCACTATACTGTTACTATTGTCATAAAAAAGTTGAAAACAACCTTAGAATTTAGATTTCAGTTTGAGTAACAATTGTGGCACTTACTTCTGCTTGTACTAGTTACTTTTTTAACCACTTTTTAAAATTTAAAATTCTTTACTTTTATCAAAGTAATATACTTATATAATTTAAATAAAAATAGTATTTCTAGATTTTTAACAAAAAAGAGCAATTATCCACACCACACATCCTCACTCCCAATTCCTTCTTCTAATTTAAGTCTTAGCTGCTTCTTTTGAAATTTAGTCTTATATTTCTTGAGAGTTTCTAATGCTATGTCTTTCTTTTTTCAGTTGTGTGTACTGTCTATGGGCTTCCTAATTCTAGCAGATGAAGATTTAACTTTTCTACCTTATTTCCTAGAGAAACACATATAAAATCTATTCTTGTGTTTCAAAAATAGCTATAAGCATTCTTTTTTATTAAATAACCATTCAGAATTTACCTTATTAAAAGTGTGTAATCATTATTCATAGCTGAGGTATATGCTATGTTTTCTTTTTTGTATGATTTTAGTCTTTACTAAATTCTTCAATTTAGTAATTCAACAATTGCTTATTTTATTTGCTTATTGACTTTTTTAGCTACCCATTACTTATTGTCACTGAACTTCAAAGATCTCCTTTTAAAATATTCAGCTACATCAGGTATTCCACAGGACTCATTTTTTCCTGGAGATCGGTCTCTGGGAGGCCTCCTGCTCCAATTTAGATGGTTGCTAGCTTCTGCCCTGGGACTTTACTCCTCCCTCTTCACCTGGATTCCCTGCTATCAAGGTCCTAAATATTCCTCTTTCTTGACTTACTAGTTTTGGAGAGGAACATCTGAGTTAAAGTGTTTGGTAAATAATATTTTTAAGCTGCATATCTGAATATACCTTTATGCCCACACTTACAATATTTCAGTTGAGAGTAAAATTCTGTTAGAATTATTTTCTTCACAATTTTGAAGATAAATGCTCCATTGAATTTCAGCTTTCTGGGACTCTAGTGAGAATTTCCATGCCATTTTGATTTCCAATCCCTTAAATGTAACCTTTTTATTTTTCCTTATGAAAACTTTTTGATATCTTTTTTTTTATTCTTGGCGTCCTGAAATTTTGTGATGATGTACCTTCATGAGGATCCTTTTCCGCAAGTTGTGCTGAGCATTTGGTGGACTCTTGCAATATGAGAATGTGTTCTAGATCTGGGAAGGTTTCTTGAATTATTTCTTGAGTAATTTCTTCTTCTTCATTTTCTCTGTTCTCTTTCTTATGATTCCCTTTTTTTTCAGAAGTCAAACTTCTTCATCTCCTAATTTTCTTTTATCTTTTTCTCCATCTTTTTTCTATTTTCTGAAAGATATCAAATTTCTGTTATCAATTTTTAAATTTATTGCTTTAACTTTCAAGAGCTCTTATTTTCTAAATGTTCTTTTATATACCTTTCTCTTTTTCATTCATGGATGTAATATCTTCAGAGCCTACAGATAATTAAGTTTTTAATGACATTTTTCCTTCCTAGTTTTTTTTTTCTGTCTTCCTCAAGTGTCTGTTGATCTTGGTCATCTGTGTATACTCAGGGAGAAGCAGACATGCTTGTTGGCAGTCCTATGGGATACATGAGGAATGTTGAGTGGTAGAACTCTCTAGGGCAAAGGGTTTCAGCCAATCTGCCTCCCCGAGCCTCCACAATCTAGCCCCATGTCTGCACTGTCAGTGTGGGGCTTTTGCTCCTCAAGCCTGATGTCCCTGGCAGCTCCCTCTCAACACCTGAATTTCTACTTCCATCTCCTTCCTGGGTCTGCTCCTTCTGCATGGAAATGCTTCCCCTCCTAATCCTGTCTCAGATCCTGTTTCCTTCCAGGCTAAGTTTACGCATGATACCCTTGCCACCTTCTTCATGTTACAAACCTTGCTCTATGCTTCATGTGTTTCCTAGTGTTTAATGTATGTTAGTTTGTCTCCCCATCCACAATGTGTGCTCCTTAAGACTAGAGACTGTCACATACTTCTTGGTGTAACCCTATGGTATACAATGAGTAATAGATGCTGAGCACTGTTTGTTGATTTTACTTGAAAAAAATATCAACAGCATATGAAAGCCTTGTATATCAAATGGAGAGATTTGTTCCCAAATTGTTTAATACATACATATTGTGTCACTTCAATTTGGTAATGCATTTTGAGTGCTTGATCTAAGTGCTGTGTAGGATACAAGACTATGAGGGAACGTTTGATCATTTTACTTCCCAACTGAAACCTCTCCTGGGGCTTATAGGAGCCCTACTGAGACATGTTGTATGTAAAGGTGGATTTTGAGATGCATCTTAAATAATTGAGTATTATTAATAATTGACCTTTGTCCATAATTTAGTTTAAAATAAATTAGATTGGTTTCAATGTTACTCTATTATCACACTTGGCTACCCAAACAGCCTCTTGGTTATAAAGAAAAGGATGGCATTACAGCTAGAGGAATGAGGATTGTGTGTAATCTGAAGCCTGCCTTACTTAAACCCAAGGGAATATGTCCTGAATATGAACTTTACTGATCTTAAAGCAGCTTCAGAAATCATGGTTGAGACAGAGTCCAAACTCCTTAACATGAGATAGAGACACTGCATTATCAGGGAATCCCATTCACCCATCCAGTTTTATCTGCCACTGCTCCCTTATGTATGTATACATTACAGTCACTGAAATTTCCCTAAAGTGTTATGTGTCCTTACCTGTTGTTTCTCCTCACGCTGGAACTCTCTCACACCACACTCCACACTGGCAAATCTGTCCATTAAAAACTGTGGGTTCCAGAGTATTATGAGAGTGACCATCATCATCACAGCAATACTGGCACAGGTCTACTTGCTTACTGTGGGCGGGGGCCTTGGCTATGCTCTTTGTAAGTACTGTCTGGGAAATATTGTCATTATACCAACTTTACAAATGAGAAGGTTGAGGGTACAGAGGTTAAATAACTTGTCCAAGGTCACCCCCCCCAAGGTCCAAGGGTTGGGTGTGTGCATGTGTGGAGGGGAAATGATAATATGGGTGATTGTTGAAACCACAATGTTGCTCATGTGAAACCTTCATAAGATTTAATGTACCTTAAAATAAAATAAAAATTTTTCAAAAGAAAGATTGGAGTTTATCCAGTCTTACTGAGGCAATGACCCAAATGACAACCGATCAGGCGCGTTCTGATCAGACTGCTTCAATGTCCTTTGTCAAGGAACAGTTCGTATACCTGTTTACAACAGGGGGTACCTGCAGGGAAGAGGTTACATTCACCAGTGCATCGGAGCAGTGTGCCAAGAGACATTTTAAAAGAACAGACTCAGTGTGCAGGAGGCAGGGGTCAGGATGGTTACTCTCCTACAGTTCCACCAAGATCGGGGAACCAGGTTTCCTTCCAATCGTTCTCTGAGCACGGCATGCTGTGCCCTTCTCCCGGGTGGGGTGCTGCGGCCTGCTCGGTTGCCCCACACACATTTCCACTGATCTTACACCCCTTCCCGAAGTTCGCCTCGCCACTGGCTTTCTCGGAAAGCTCTCCATAAGCACGGTAACACATTCCTCGTGAGAATCCTCTGACGTGGGCTTCTCCGAAAGGAGAAGCGGGGAAGGCGGGTTCCCCGCTCGGTGCTGCTCGGGCCCAGGACAGCTTTCTCGGGCGCTCTCCAGTCGGAGCGCGGGCCGGCGGCACACGAGCCGCACGGTCGCTCACCCCCGCGCACCAGCTGGGGCGGGGAGGGTTAGCCGGCCACCCGCCGTGGGGCCTCAGCCTGCCCGGCTGCGCTGGGACACAGCAGCCACCGCCGACGCACAGACTCCGTTTCCGAAGCAACGGGCGCAGCGCCTGCGCGCCTAGCTCCCGGGCGCCACGCCCCCAGGGGCCCGCGGGGCGGTGCCTCGGGCGGAAGCGCCGGAGCGGAAGCGGAAGCGGGCGGGCAGCTGCAACAGCGGAGTGCTGAGCGGCCTGTGTTCAGCAGTGCTGCGCTCCTCTAGGTAGGGCTCCTGAGGGCCCGGCGTGCGGGCGCTTTCCGGGCCGGTGGCCTCGGCGCCCGCGGCTCTGCGCGGTTGCGGGCCCGGCCCCATGTCCTTACGGTCCCAGTGCCGCCTTGGCGCGCCCTGACCGGAGCCCTCCCCTCAGTGCTGTTGTCCTCGGCCCCCGGCCGCCGGCGCGCGAATCGCCGCTGACCCGGCACTTGCATCCCAAGCGTGCGCGCCAGCCACGAGTCACCTGCGCTGCCCAGCACCGAGCCGCCTGAGGGCCTGGGGGGTGAAAGGACTGGGCTCGCCTCCAGCCCAGGCTTGCAGACCCGCGGGAGAGAATGTATGTCTAAGTCGGCCCAAGAGGGGCAGGACGTTTCTGTACCGGATGCGGGAAGTGAGCTGTTTGAATAAGCCGAAGTTGGGAGGTGAAATAGTGGCCAGAGGTTGTTCAGTCCCGCAGGGAGAACGGCGTGTTTAAGACGCGAAGGTCGGAGGCAGTCTGACATATTCGGGGAAAAAAAGTGCTGGGTACAGATGGGGAATGTCAGGAAGCTAAAGAGAATTTGGAACAAGGAAGTGATCAGACTTAGTGCTGAAAGAGTCTGGCAGGTGTAGGGATAATGGCGGGGGTGATGACTCGCCACATCACAAGAAGAGGGCCCTGCAGTTGGGCAGGAGAGAGAAGTTTTAGAACTAAAAACCCGAAAATGGTAGTGGATAGAAGTGGGAGGTGAGTTTGGTGGAAAAGAGATGAGGTGCGGGTGCTTCCAGGTTTCTGGCTTCAGCTTTTGGGTGAATGGTTAAGAGTGAGAAGCACGGAGTGGCATCAGGTTTGGAGCTTCCCAGATGTTCTCCATTGTCTGTCTGCAGATGTGTTACACAGTTTCTCCAAGTCTTGGATCATCTTCTTTATTTTGTTCTCTGTCATTTGCAAATCTTGTCCTTTGACCATGTTTTCTTTGACCCTGCGGGTGTTTGGACCTTGCTATTAGGAGCTACCTTCTGCACCAGCCGAGCCTTCACACATTCTCTCTTTGGTTCCCCATCTGCCTCTGCGCACTCTAAGCTCCACCACAGTGGGTTCCCTGCTCTTGCCGTTCCTTTTGTCTGAGAACTCAGCTGGGCTTCCTTTATCAGTTGTGCTCATGCCAAATACGCCACCTCTCCATGTGCACTAGTTCTTGACTTCCTGGTTTTCTTGTGTTATATCTAACCACCTGCTCTTCCAGACTTACAGAAACCCCATCCCTTCTGGTCCAATTTTTTCTCATCCATAAATTATGAAAACTGCAGCAGGTGACATCTGAGGTCATTTGTATTTTTAGTATTTTGAGGTTCTGCCCTGAGCCTGAACTTGGGAGTCACTGGTGGGGCAGATTAGTGTAAAGCCAAGAGATTCAGGCTTCAGTCCCCTCACTTTTACGGTTCCCTTCTGAGACACTGGGAAGGAACTTAGTGGCCTTGTGTTTATAATTTTATATAGGTTTTTTTAAAAGAAGTTACCCCAATTGTATAAGTTCAGGCCCTGCACAACTTGGATTCCTATGAAACTGGCCTTGGTCGTATCCTGCTGTCTTGTTTTTGGAATTCTTGTCCTTCAAACTCTCCCCTTTGTCCCCATCCTTCCCCTCCTCCCTCCTTCCCTCTCTCCTTCCTCCCCCTCTTGCCCCTCCTGCCCCTCCTCCTCTGCACTCAGGCTTTATTGTAAGTGTTGTGACCTCAGGCAGGTGGCATAAGGTAGTATGCATTGTTGGCTGTGGCCCAGCAATCAGGCCTTCCTGCCTTGTGCTACAGAACATGCCTTTTACTGTAGAGTCTGGGGCTAGCCGGGTGTCTGATGTGGGCTTTTGGAGTAAACTGCACATATTTAAAGTCCCAGGCTTGCTGCTTTTCTGAGAGACCCTGAGCCTTTGCCTCTCTATTTCAAGATTCATTTCTTACGGACTTCCTCTTCTTGATTGCGGTGTCCAGAGCTGCTAGCACAGGTCCTGGAGCATAGTGAGCACTAGATGAATACCAAATGCATGTGGGAATTTAGAACTCATGCCTTTGGTATATCTGTAGGGGGCCGGAAGAGAGTCTCTGACCTCTTTTGTCTTTTGCAGTAGGAAATAGGGCTTTGCATCCCTCCAGTTTTGGGATCCTTCCGGAATAGGGAGAATGTTGGAAATTGGACAGCCAGCACAACCAGTATCCACCAGAGCCCCTCGTTTACCTCTAGTCTTGCCTGTCTCCATCCCTTCTCTGTGACATAGGCAAGACAGTGTTTCTAAGGGCTCTTGCAGATACCTTGCGTGATATCTGATTTCCCCTGGCATGGAGTGCAGGTGCGTACATGGTCTGCAGATCCTCTAGCTGGCTCTTAGCCTCTCCTTAGTCTCCTTCTTAGACCACAAGTTACAACCATACTGAACGGTTTTTTTTTCTTCTATTTTCCATATGTGAAGAACACATTTATAGTATAAATTAAGCTATAGGTTAAACTACTTAATAGACATTAAAGCACCTTATTAACATCCATTTAATAATAAAAAAGACCATACAGACCTAAGAACCCCATCCCTCCTTGCCCTTGCTTCACACCTCCCATGACTGCTTTCCCATTGCTGTCCACCCATGCCTTCCTTTCCTGCCTTGTGTCAAGTCTCATTTGGAATGCCTTTTCTAGGACAGCTGTGAGTCCTGGAACTGTGTGGGTCTTTCTGCTGAGTACCCCCATGCTCTGCTGTGCAGTGACACCCGCTGGGTGTTAACCTGTTTACGTTTCCTGCTAGGGAAGTAAGCAGAGGGCATGGACAGCCTGTTGGAGAATATATGCTTTTACTTTGGTTTAGTAGTTTCATGCCTAAGATTTATCCCCAGGAAATGACTGGAGATGTGCTCAAAGATATATGTACACAGATGTGACTCGCATTCATCTTTACAGATGCAATATTGAACATGACCTGAATGTTCAGTGTGGGCCAAACCCTTCCTCCTGCTGTGTGCACACTGCCTGTCCATTTCGCACAGGAGGGGTGATGTGAGCTTTAGGACTATCTTCATATATATCATGACTTGAAAGTAGATTATAGGAAAGTATGATCCCAGTTTTTAAAAACAGTAGATAATAATGTGTGTACTCTAAAATGTTTGCTGTGGTCTGTCTGTGGAAGATGAGATTATAAGTTGTCCTTTTTTTTCTTTGTACTATCTCTGAATTTTCTGCAAAGAATGTGGTTGCTTTTTTTTCATGGCAGCTTTTTTAATCAGAAAATACATTTTACAAATAAATACATTTCTGACATTAAAGAATAGTTTAGCTTGTAAAAATCAAACATGGTAAAATCTCACTAGAATTTGTGTGGCTTTGTTTTAAATTTTGAGGTGATTTAAGAATTTTGACTGATGAGCTGATTTTAGTATACTTTAGCAACTAATGAGAAATGTTTGATGAATAAATCTGTAATGTAAATAAAATTGCATCAGGACAATTTATGTAGTAGGTCTTGTAAACCTTACTTTGCAGATGAAAAAAATGAAACTGGTTCAGAGTTTCGCTGCTTTCAAGTGGAAGTTATAACTTGTACTTGGTCCTGTTTTGTTCTGAAGGCTTTATCTACATTATTCCACTGCCTGGTGTTCCATCGTTTCTCCCAAGGACACAGCTCAAAGAGGTCAACCTGCCAACTACTGGGTGTCTCCATCAGTCACATACCAGTGTTCTGAATCTTGCTACAAGGCAGACTGTGTTCTGGGGTGGGGGGTCCCCCAGGGCATTCTGAATCTGGACACCTGCACTGAGATATATTAAAGTACATTGCAGCAGCCATAAGCTTTCCTTTTCTCATTCAAATAATCTTTGAGGTAGCCATATTAAAAAAAAGTTATTCTGGCACTTGTGAAAATAGCAAGGAAGACTTTATTCAAGACTTCTGCAGTGTGGGAGTGAGGTACGGCTCAACTGCATATGGCAGAGACTTTTGGGGGCTTATAGCCCAGCCAGGAGTAAGAGGGTCCGTTAAAGACAAAGTTAGGGGATGAAGAGTTTGATTAGATTTTGAGGGTAATCATACACCAAGGGTGTGGGATTTTTTCTAAACTGACCCAGCAGAATTTTTGCTAAAACTGGACTTTGCAGGGACATACATGGAGGCCTAGTCAGGAAGAGGGCACAGAGGGGCCTCGCTGGAGCTTGTCAAGGACAAGGTCTGTCAGGTGTTCAGCATGCCCAGTGTGAAGGTCCTCTGAAGCTTGGAGACAACCCTTCCTTTCCACACCTGGCTGGTTGTGCATTCACAAATACTCAGCACACACCGAGCAAACCCTCTGCCCACTTGCTGGCATGGGATGGGCATTCATCTCATGGCGTTTTCAGTCCCTGTCGTTGTGCTGCTGTGTGTGAGGGGTCCCTGAAATGTGTCTCTCTAGGCGGGGCAGTCAGAAGGAGAGAAGTCAGGGACTTCAGATAAGGCGCATGAAGCCATCATGCAGGGCTCACTGAGGCTTTGGCCCAGCGAGCATACTCACTGGAAGGGTTACCTGGGGCTGGAAATGAGGCAAGAGAGAAAAGAGGGCTCACGTTCATCACGGCCACCCTGCGCCATGTAACCAGCTCACCCAGGAGCTCTCAGTTTTCCAGCAGAATGTACCTGTCTATTCGATTATTTACTTTAGAGCCTAAACACTGATGTTACATGTTAGTTTGCATATTTTTGTCTTGTAGAGAGAGGAACTATTCTGCCTGATAAAGATAAATCCAAACGTTACAGCTTTATTGCTTTGTAGGATGTTATCCTGATTTGTCTCCAGCTTAAGCTAATTTTAGTCAATTGTAGCTGTTCAGATGCCCTCTGAACCACCCTCTCATCTTTCCATCTCCCTCACAATTTATATTCATGTAGGTTATGTCTTTTAGCCTTTGAAAATCATACTTTGACGATATTGGATGACTGGGTATGTCCTTCAGGTGGCCATGAGCACTGGTACTGGTGGTTCTTCGGCAATCACTGCTCTCCACGTGGGATCTATTCCCTGGGCTGCCTGTGAATGCATTTGACCCTCTGGCCAGTGATTGGGCATGCAGTCTTTGTCCCCCTCTATGAGTGACAAATAGGGTTGATAGGTTTTTGCATGCCACTCTTTTTCTCTAAGAGCCTGTCAGTTGAAAGAAGGAACTTCTAGACTTCTCTTTCTTGCTCACACCCTCACCTTCTGATAACTCGGTGTGTGGGGCTGGGTCCGGCTGTCAGGAGAGTGAAGCCATTCTGAAGAGGACGGCCTCCAGCATGTTCCAGCTGGGCTTGTATGCTGCCGGCTGCCCCTCAGAGTTTCCTGCACTGATGCTGTCTCCTGAATTAGTTTGTCAGTTACTTGAGGGCCATGACCCCCTACTTTGTACTCTTACTTGCCCACAGTTGAAGTCTACACTTGCAGATATCTGATTTCTCTTCATACATCTGCCCTTAGATGCCTTGATTTGCTCATCCATTTACAAATACGTAGTGGGCCTGCACTTGCCAAACTCTTTTCATTGCTGCGGTGAGAAGGAAAACCATTTGAATGGAATTAAATTTTATTTGATGGGTATTGGAAATATGACAGTGGTGTCATCTGTCCTGAGGGGCCCACATCGATGGAAATGATGGAAGTGACTCCCAGACTGTATTTTGGGCAATGACGCGCCTATCTATTGAGACATGACTTCTGTTTTCTTCCCAAACAAGTTTCTGAATAATGAAAATTTCCTGTGTAATTTGCAGATAAAATAAATTAAATTTTACATATACACACACACATATATATATGTATTTGTGCAACCATTTTAAACATTACCTTTAAAGAATGAAAAAACGCGCTTGTATCAGTGAAAGGCTCTTAAAAAAATCTAAAAGGTAATATCTACAGAACTTATCTTTTAAGCATTTCATTTCACACCATGCCAGCTGTGTAGAGGGTGGGTAGTGTGATTATTGAATACTTTAAAGAGCTGAAATACCAGAAGGCATCCTCAAATTTCACAAGTTCCCAAATTTTTCTTTGTAAATGCCATAGAAGAACACATTGTAATATAACATTCCTGAGGTAATTTGTTATTTAAAATGTGAGAAACAGGAGTACCAGTACATGTTTAATTAAGATACTGTGGGGTGAGAAGGAAAACATTTGAATAAAATCAGAGTAGAGGCTGAGCCTGAATTCTTGAGGAATAAAGAGGAGAGTGTTTTGAGAATCTCAGTGTTGACATTTGCAGTTTTAGAAGAAAAATGCATGAAACAAAAATCCCTTTTTGTTGGTGAGGGACAGCAGCCAACCCAAATGTGTCAGGCTGCTGCGTAAGTCGCATCTGGGGGGCCGGGTCCAGGGCGGGCTGCCAGGCTCCCTCTCTCAGCTTCGTCTCTGAGTGTGTGCATTGCAGCGTGTGTGTCTTGAGCAAGCCAGCGAGGACTGCGCGCCGGCCCTGGCCATGGGGGCACCTGATGGGAAGGGATCAGCACCCAGCTCGGAGCCAGTGAGGCATCTGCAGCATAGGAGCAGTCAGAGTCCACGTTCCTAAGAGCTACCTCGGATCCACCTGTCAGCAGACCTTCCAAGTCTGCTGTTTTTAAAGCTAGGCCTGGAGTGGCCACATTCATGAGGCCGAGTACTGTTGGCTGTCTCGACCACCCATTGTATTCCAAGAGCCCCTTTCCAAATGTGCACTCAACACTGGGCTGAAATGCCACCAGAAAAGTCACCTGCTGCAGAAATACGATGTCACCCAGAGGTCTGACCTGCAGAACTGCCTTAGAGCTGAGATAATCCCATTATGAGGTCCAGTTCCTCTTCAAAAACTCGTGTACCATGGAAATGCTCCCAAGATAAACTCTAGACTAGTAATTACTTTATGGTTGGTTTGGGGTATATGAATTCATATGTTCCCTTATGTTTAGAGAACAATGAGCAAGACTTCTCTAAATTTCAACATAAATGTGTGCTATTTATGTCCACATCAGTTTATATTTTTCATTACTAACAGCTATTAAACAGATAACTTCAAATTCCAGTGTTAGGGCCAGATTCCACCAGCAGGCAATAATAAATCCTAAGAAGATGACCCTGTATGGGTGACTTTCCTCAATCAAGTAATTAGAGTCTCTTCATTTGTGAAATAGAACTTTTAGTCTTTTACCTGTCAGGGTTGTTTTGAAGATCAGAGGTTTTGTGTGTGGAGTGCCAGTGCTGTGGGGGACATCAGGCAGAGCTGTGATGGTCTTCAGCCGGTGGCTGCTGTCTTCCAGCCTATGCTGGAGAAGGCTTATTTGTTCAGGTGTTGCTGTTTGCATAATAAGGATTTTTTGTTTTGTTTTATCAAAGGACGCTAAACCCTGATGACTCTTGAATAAAACCCATGTGAAAGAATATAGGCCGTCAAGATAAAAGATGTCATTATGGAATTTTTGTGACCATTGAGAGATTCTATTACCTACTTGAAGAATGTCTTACACTACATCTTTCATTATATATAAGGGTATCTTATTATATCAAGTACTCTGCTTAGACTTTTTCCAGATGCAAATTCTCTTTGAACTATTTTGTCTGTTTCTACATTTTAGAATGGGCAGTTTTCCATTAAAAGTCAGTCACCATCTCAAATGTAAATATTTGCATAGTAGGTTTTATTCTTTGAACATCTTGATTGACCTGTGCTTGACATTACAGTAAAGTGCACATATTACAGTGTCCAGTTCAACCTCGTCAGCATGTGTCACCCCGAGACCATTACCACCATCAAGGTAGTGAATATACCCATCACCCCAACAATTTCTCCTCTGCACACCCCTCCTCCTCGGCATCCCCACCCTTGACAACCACTGCTGTGCTCTCCGTCCCTACAGATCAGCTTGCCTCTCAGTGAGCTAGAATTTTATGTAAATAGAATTGCACACTGTATATATACTCCTTTTTTGTTTGTTTTTTTACTCAGCAAAACTACTTTGAGAAACATCATGTTGTATGTATCAACTTATGTTTTAGATTTTCAAAATCAGTGTCTACTGGAATTCTAGATGGGAAACATCTTGTTTTTGAATTTGATGAGAAATGTCCTGAATAAATGTCTTAGAGAAAATCTTGACAGATTCTTACATTATGTTGTCATGATAAAAGTCCAGCTCAGGGAGCTTCTAAGTGAAATTCCTTATGTGCTGTTGTGGAAAACTCTCTGGGCTCCCAACTGTCATATCATGTAGCATATCATGTTGGAGATGAGAGTTGTTTTGAAATAGAGAATGACCATTAAATGTTACCTTGTGTTTGCTTTGAGGGTGCCATATGTTTAGTGATAGTGCCATAATTGTTAATGTATTTCCCTTTCCAGGTCCTTTCCTGCAGTTCCATTATGGGCGTCAGAGGCTTGCAGGGATTTGTGGGAGGTTCCTGCCCGCATGTATGTACAGTAGTGAATTTCAGAGACCTAGCGGAACGCCACCGAAGCAAGCATCCTGGGTGCACCCCTACCGTTGTGGTTGATGCCATGTGTTGTCTCAGGTACTGGTATACTCCCAGATCTTGGATCTGTGGTGGCCAGTGGCGAGAATACTTTTCTGCTTTGCAAGATTTTGTGCAAGCCTTCACAGCTGTCGGCATCCAGCTGACCTTCTTCTTTGACGGGACTGTGGAGCAGGACAAGCGCCGTGAGTGGGTGAAACGGAGACTCAAGAACAACAGGGAGATTGCCAAGATTTTCCACTATATCAAGTCGCACAGGGAGCAGCCTGGTAGAAGCATGTTCTTCATACCGTCTGGGCTGGCCATCTTTACGCGGTTTGCTTTGAAGACCCTTGGTCAGGAGACCCTGTGTTCATTGCAGGAAGCTGACTATGAGGTGGCGTCCTATGGCCTCCAGAATAACTGTCTTGGAATTCTAGGGGAAGACACAGACTACTTGATTTATGACACCTGCCCCTACTTTTCAATTAGTGAGCTCTGTCTGGAGAGTCTTGAGACTGTCATGCTCTGTAGAGAGACACTCTGCCAGAGTCTGGGTCTCAGCCTGGCAGACCTCCCTCTGCTGGCCTGCCTCCTTGGCAATGACATAATCCCAGAAGGCATGTTTGAAAGCTTTCGGTACAAGTGCTTGTCTTCCTACACCTCAGTGAAAGAGAACTTTGACAAAAAAGGTAACATTATCTTAGCTGTAGCTGACCACATAGCTAAAGTTCTTCACTTGTATCAAGGTGAGAAAAAGCTGGAAGAAATGTTACCTTTGGGACCAAACAAAGCCCTTTTTCATAGGGGAGTGGCATCATATCTTTTGCCAGGACAGAAATCACCATGGTTTTTCCAAAAACCCAAAGGTGTAATAACTTTGGAAAAGGAGATAGTATCCATGTGTACAGAGCCTGAATCCAAGCAGGAAGTTCCCATGTGTACAGAGCTTGAATCCAAGCAGGAAGTTCCCATCAATATAGATCCTGCACCCAAGCAAGAAGTTCCCATGTGTACACACCCTAAAATCAAGCAGAAATTACCTATAGGTACAGTTCTTGAATTTAAGGGGGAAGCACTCATGTGTACAAACCCTGAAATGCAACAAGAAGGCCCCGTGGATATGGAGCCTGAAACGAGGCCACAAGTGACCATGGTTTCAGACCCTGACATCTTAAAGGTATGTAGATATACCCACCTGGTAGGTCATGAGTGGGATGTGTCCTCTGATGGACTTGTCTGTGAACATGGTTGAGGCACTGTGGGGAGCACAGGGCAGGACCCACAGAGTTCAGTTAGGAAGTTGACATAGCACATTTGGACTCATGTCATAAACTGTTTGCTTCTGTTCTAGAGGAGAGCTCTAGGAGTCTGTAGGAGGGAGATCGCTGTGGGCTGAGAGACAGAGAGAAGCTTCTGGTAGAGGTGGGGCTGGACTTTGCTTTGGAAGGCAGAGACATGGGGCTATAGGAGCATGAAGGGTGGAGCGCTGAGTCTGTGCTGTTGGGACAGCGTAGAACAGGGCTGGAGCAAGGGCTTGAGGGGAAAAGTAAGAAAATGTGGGAGGTGGACTGCAGTCAGACTGTGAAGATCCTTGAACATCCCGCCAGGAATCTGGACTAATTCTAGGGGTAATAGAGCCAAGGAAGGTTTTGATGGAGGGCCACTCTTAATGAACACCTGTTCCGTGTGAGGGTCTGTGCTGACACACCTCATTTATCCTCCCAGCAGCTCTTTGAGGCAGGCACTCTCCTGTTCTGGCTAAGGCATGTGACTGCCCCAAAGGCATCTCAGCAAGCTCAAAACCCAGCCCACAGCCTTATCCATGAATTGCTCCTGGCATTGTGTCACCATCTTTCATCTGGCCACACAAGTTACAAGCCTAGGCACTGTGTATCCCAAGTCTCGTTCCTTTCACCTGTTCAATATTTGGCTACCCTGGACCAAGCTCTGTCCTGACTGGGTCACTGTGGTGATCTCTTAACACTTCCTGTACAAACCCGTGCCCCTTCCAATCCATTAGTCATGCTGCAGGCAGAAATAAAGCTATTTATTTGCACTTCACAGCTCAGGGTAGACATGATCCCTCAACAAGGCTGTGGCAGGCCTCCACCTTGCTGCTAACACGTGTGTGTAGCTGTGTCATCCGTCATCCGTCCTGGCCTGGAAAGCTCTTCTGCCGTATCTGCTGGTTAATGTCTACTAGTGTTTTCCATCATAACTGCATGGTTACACACGCTGAGAAGCCTCCTGACTATCCTATTTATTGAATGAGAAAGTGGAATCAATTTAAACCTTACGTCGCATCCCCGACCAATGTGTGCTGGCACTGCTAGGCAGAAACACACAACTATCAGCACCTAGTTTTTGCTCAGTAAAAATTACTGAACAAATGCATGAATATGACCTAGTTCCTAGTCCCAAGGAGCTTACAGTGAGGTAGGAGAGATCAGAAGATAAGTATTGCAGTGTAAATGTGCATTGAGCCCCGTAAGGTAGGGAGGAGATGAGTTCTAGCTGCGAGGAGAGGATTTATGGAGAGGGAGACACTTTAAGTGAACCTACATGGGAAAGAGGCTTGTGAAGTGGGAGGTGGGCAGGCACCGATGGGGACATCCTATGGGGGCACCAATGCAGGGAGGAGGCTTGGCACTCTGGGACAGCAAAGGTGGCTGGAGCATTGCAGTTTCATGGTGTGTGTGGGAAGAGGACACTGAGGCCCAGTAGGGCCTGAAAGTGCGGGTGAACAATCTGCAGTAGCCATTCAGGGGTTTTGGGGAAGGTAGGAACTGGCCCTCTGTTTCTAAGAAGACAGGGTGTTGGTGTGAAGGGTGGGTTGGAGAAGGGAAAAACGGGCTGGGGGTCAGCAAGAGCCTTTTATAGTGACACTTATTATTAGGTTGACAAAGTGAGATACTGTAGCAGTAAGTGTGATACATCTGGTAGGTGTTGGAAGGAGGAGAAGGAAAAAGTAATTTTTGAGCCTAGAAGCCCAAAGGAAAGGAAGCATAAATGCCAGCTTGATGTCATGTGTGTGCGTGACAATTATTTCATTTTCTGAGTGCCTTAAAAACACTAGCATGTGATGAAAAGGTGTTGAGGCTTTTTCTTTGCAAGTTACTACTTTGTTTCCAAGGAGAAATTGGTTGTATTTCAATTTGAACAGGTTGCCAGAGAGCATCATGTCCAGGCGGAGAGCTACCTGGTGTACAACATCATGAGCAGTGGGGAGGTGGAGTGCAGCAACAGCCTGGAGGACGAACTGGACCAGGCCCTGCCCAGCCAGGCCTTTGTCTACCGCCCTGTGCGGCAGCGCGTCTACGCCCTCTTACTAGGGCACAGTACAGGTGAGGGACAGCATTGATGGAGCTGAATTCTGAGAAAATGGCTGCATGAAGTAGAGTGTGTTCTTTCAGGGCACAGATACACTTAAACAGGGCTTTGTTTCTTTGTTAAACCTGTAACAGAATGCGAATATTGTACAAAACAAAAGGTTAAATGGCATGAGACATCTATAGCTAATTATCAAGCAGTTGGTCAGTATTCATGAAGAGTGCATTGCTTTTATAAAAAGTCATATTTTTATTCCTTAAAAGGATTTGTGCTTTTTAAAAATGTGAAAACCCTTTCCTCCTTTACAGTGCTTATTATTAGATGTTACTGTTATAGAAACATTAAGGTACGTTTATTATTAGAAGACTATTCTCCATCAAAACTATATTTTCATAAAATAATTTTATAAAATCTAGTGCATATTTTAGAATATAAACAAAGTTTTCCTTTACCATTTTTGTAGTTTATGTTTTTTCCCTTCTGTGTTCCCATTGTGCAGTAGCGACAAGAGAATGGGGAAGGACAGGCACTGACACAGCAGTAAGATTGGGAGGAGCTTTAATACCCAGTGTAAAGTTAGTGGGGCCCCAGACCCTCTCTTAGGAACAGTCTGGGGCGAGTTGGGGGTGTAGAAAGCAGGGGATGCTTGATGCGTTTAGTCACCCCCTGGGTAAGGCCTTGCTCACTGGAGACAGGCCTGTGGGGCCTCATGTCTGATTTGAGTGCTTTGGTGAGAAGTGGGTCTAGCACACCATTCCTAGGATGGGAGACAGAGGCAGTGAGAGCTGGTGAAAGCATACCTGAGTCCCAGAGGCCTAAACGCTGGTCTCACATCCCAGTGTTGTTAGTATTGCTCCATTGTTCCAGAAAGCAGACCTTTACATAATCTGAAGGTGATGATGGAATCTTCAGATCACAGTGTCGTGATTATTCTTTTTCATTGTTGGGGAGGGAGTGGCAGGTTCTTTGAGCCCATTGTTCGTTAGACCCGTGGCATCCCCAGCATGTACTGCCTTCCCCATGTGCACCGTGAGGGTCCAAGCACCATGTGACCTGAGGAAGGTGTTTACCCTGATTTAAAGCACAAACAAAAGAACCTATGTAATAAATGTGGGAACCAAATATTGTTTAGAAAATTTTTTTCTATTTCTTCTTATGTGCTGCTCTGCCCATAGTCTTCTTTCACATGAAACATCTCACATTGACTCTAATGAGTCAAAAAAGATAGCTTCATCGTGAAAGCTATGATATTTACCTGGAATTGCTTTTAGAGTGTTTTGTTAAATGAAGTTAAAATATGTAAACTTTGCTAACTTAAATTTCATACTTTACTAATTTATAGCCATAGAGATAACTTTATTAGCTAACCAAAATAACAGAAAAAATTACTCAAATTGAACTTGTCTTCAAAGTTTATCTTTATTTTCCTTTTCTCTTTCTCAACTTTTTGACTTTCTACCTGAAGTTTACCTTATTAGGACAGGAAAATAAATGCTCTATTTCTGTTTTGTTTTTTTTTTGTGGTGATAATAATGAGGCATATTCTCTCCTGTTTGTTTAGCTTAGCTTATTATTCCTTGTGTGCTTGAGACATGCATGTTCTGTGTTGCTGAGTACCTATGAATATCAGTAGTGTTAGCAGGGCTATTCAAATCTTCTACTGATTTCCTGTCAACTTTTCTTAGTTCTTGAGAGAAGAATGTTGACATCTCCATTGTGGATGTTTTTGTTTATTCCTTTAGTTCTGTTAGTTTTGCTTCAGATATTTTTGAAGGTCCATTATTAGGTGCATATACATTGAGGATTGTTATGTTTCTTAATGAATTGACCCTTTTAACATTATGAGAATTCCTTTTTAAAAATCTGGTAATACTCCTGTTTTGTAGTTGTTTTTGTCTGATACTAATAAATACATTCCATTTTTCTTAGTATTACTGTTCTCATGGTGCATCTTTTTCTATCCTTTCACTTTTAAACTACTACTTTGTGTTCAAGTATATCTCTTTAAAGCAGTAAATTGAGTATGACAATCTCTGTCTTTTAATTGAGATGTTTGGATTATTTGTGTTTGATATAATTATTAATGTGATTGTGTTTAAGTGTTCCATTTTGCTTTTTGCCCTGTTCTTTTTCCCTTATTTTCTCCTTTCCTAACTTATTTTGGGTTAATTGAATAATTTTTAGTATTCTGTTTTATATCTTCTTTTGGATTATTAGGTTCACCAAGTTTTGTTTTAGTGGTTGCTCCAGGCTCTGTTCCATACATCTTTGAATTACTGCACTTTGCCTTCCATTGGTGTTATACCCTATTATGCTAATGTAAAAATCTTACAACAGTGTGCTTTCATTCTCCCATAATTTTTGCTGCTGTTGGTTTATGTCTTTTTTTTTTAAGGTTTTTTTATTTTGAAATGATTGTACTCAAGGGTGGGCATTGCAAATATGCACAGACTCCATGCACCCTTCACCCAGCTTCCCCCAAAATGACTTCTTATATAATAAAGTACAATATCAAAATCAGAATGTTGACACTGGTACATTCTAATAACTAGACTATGGACCTTAATCATTTTTCACCATATTTTGCATTTGTTCATTTGTGTTTGTATAGTTCCATGCAGTTTATCAAGATACAGAACCAAACCTTCACCACAGAGGAACCCCCTCATGCTGACCCTGTGTGTACCCTGCTATCTATCCCTGTCCCCGGGCTACCACTGCCCACTTTCTGTACATTTTGGTCATTTTGAGACTGTTACATAAATGTCTTATCAATATTTAGTCATTTCAAGAATGTTACATATAGTATGTAACCTTTTGAGGTTATGCATATATTTTAAACCCCATAATACATGATTCTTATTTTTACTTTAAACCAGAAAGTGGCAGACTTTTTTTTGAAGGGCCAGATGATAATAAATAGTTTAGGCTTTGAGGGCTCCCACAGTCTGTGTAATCAATACTCTGCTGTAGTATGAAAGTGGTCATAGACAGTGTGTCAGTGAAGGGGTGTGGCGTGGTGCCAATAAAGACTTATGTGGTATCCCGTGTCACAAAATTTGAGTATCATACAATCTTCCTTTATCACCAAATAGTCCTCTTCTGGTAATCTTCCAATCATTTAAAGTAATATTAAAGCATTATTGGCTTTCTCACTGTGCAAAAATAAGCAAGGCAGACTTGGCCTATGGGCTGTAATTTTCCAGCCCTTACTTGAAACAGTCAGTTGTCTTCTAAAGGAGTTAATGAACGAGAAAGCCCTTTCTGCGTCCCACATCTGATATACTTAATTCCCTTTGTGGGTCCAAGTTCCTTTAGTGTCCTTTCTCTCCATTTGAAGGACTTTGACATTTCTTGACCTGTTCATTTTAATTTCCTGAATTTTTTCCTGCTATTCTCTCTATTTCAGAAGTGTACTTTTGCTAGATATAGAATTACAGGTATTTTTTCGCTTAGCACTTAAAAGACATCATGTTGTCACTGGCTTGCATGTTTCTCATGACATGACAGTGGTCCGTCTCTACTATTGTTCCCCATATGTATCGAGTGTTTTTCCCTCTAGCTGTCTTGAAGGTTTTTCTCTTGATCACTGGTTTTCAGCATTTTGTTTAAGTTGAGCTTTAGAGTGGTTTGCTCTGTGTTTATTCTGCTTGGGATTCTGAGCCTCTTGGATCTGTGAGTTGATATTTCCTATCAAATTTGAAAAAAATAATTGAGCGTTATTTCATCAGATACAATTTTCTGTCCCAGGGCTCCAGTCATGGTGCAGTTCACACTCCTGGTGTTACCCAGGCACCAAGGCTTGTTTGGTGCCTCTTTTCTCTCTGAGTTTCAGTTTGGGAACTTCCTGCTGCCCTGTTTTCAAATTTACTGAGCCTTTCTTCTGCATTATCTAATCTGTATGAATCCATCCTGTAAAATTGTCATTTCATATACTGTGTTTTTCAGCTGCTTTTTAGCCATTTCTTCCTGTCTTTGTATTTTCCTTTAAATCCCTGCCTAATTCACAGTAACTGTTTTCTAATCCTTGTCTCATAATCCCATAATTCCTGTCATTTCTGGGCCTGTGTCTCTTTGCTGACTTTTCTCCTCATAATGGGTCCACATGTTTCTTTTTAACCCCATGTCCAGAATCTTTTGAGTCTTTGCTGGAAGATTTTGGATCTGTGAAGGGTACTGACTTTTGTTCTGTCAGGCAGTTAATTTACTTAATCATTCAGGGCTTGTCTTAAGCTTTACTAGTGTGGGCCTATAGGACCTTTCACTCTAGAATGAGAAAGTGGCCCTGCTTCTGAGTTTGGCCTTCCTAGGCTGTCACATGAGTACCAAGTATTTAATGAGGTCTCTGCACATTGGCAGCTGGAACTCTGCTGTCAGGTGCCCTGTGCAGGCTCCAGTGGTGTGTGGGTGGGGGGGTCCCCAGAGGTCGTCTTGTCCAGCCTCACTGGGCTTTGCCCTGGACATGTATATCCCAGTCTTCAGCCATGACCTTAGGCACACTTCTGTGCAGATTTCTGGAGCCCCTTTCTGCACAGCACTAGCTCTCTGATGTGCCTGCAGCCCAGCTGTCGGGACAGCCTTAATCTGCGGAGGCTTCCTCACTTTGCTAGGGTTCTTACCAAGGCTGCCTTCTGCACAGTGCCTCTGGGCAGAAAATGGGGGTGATGACCACCACGGCCATCCCCCATGGTCCTCTAGTTCTAGGTGCTCATGAAGTTGAATGCTAGTGTGATTCTTGTTCCTTTCTTGGGGACTTTTTTCTCTTGGAACTTGTTACTGTTTTTCTCTATGTAAGTTTACAAATTTTCTTCTCCATTTTCTCTGTTCTCTGGCATGGGAGCTGCTAAAAGATGGATGCAGGCTTCCTGGGTTGATATTCTGTGTTTCTTCATCTTCTGATTCCCAGTTTGTTCTCCATTCATCATGGGACATTTTACCAGTTCTCAGCTGTTACGGGTCACTTTCCCCCTTTCCTCCCTCTCTCCATCAGGATTTCTGCCCTGGGGCCCTGTGTGAGCCCATCACCTCTCTCTACTCTGTTGAACTTGACATGTCTTCCAGCTCCTCCAAACGGAGCATTGCTCCTGGGACCCTCAGCATCATGGCTGTGTTCCTCCCAGCCTCCTGACTCCTGCTCTGTGCTGATCCCCACATGCTGGGGGCCCTCAGAGCAGGGGTAAGCCTTTTTACACCTGGGCTATCTCATCACTTGCATTGCTTTAAAGTCTATGTCCATGTTAACAAATACAAATCAGTTTTTCTGGCTCTCTTCATTTCTCCTCACTTCTATTCATTCCTCATGCCCTTAAAAACTAACTCCCACAAACTCCTCCCCTACTGCCTCATCAGAAGTTCCCCTCTGAAAGCACTGTGAGCTTTTCATTCTTAAATATGTCGTGGTTTGTACTGCATGTTTCTTCCTGTGGTTGCCTGTCTGATGTCCCCCTCCTGACTAGGGCGAGCTAGTAAGCTGAGCTGGCAGGGACTGTTTTTTTTGCTGCATCGAGCATGTTTCTTGGTGTGAATTAGGTGGTCAGTGTATGCTTTTTTACTGTATGTTTGCAATATTACCTGCGCAGGAGTATTTCTGTTTGCAAAGTGTCCCTTAAAAGAGTTCTCAAATTCCACTGGTTGGATAGCTGTCTCCAAGCCCACTCTGGCTGGCAGGTGGGCACCCACTCATTTAGAGTGAGATTCATAATTAGGGTTGTCTCCAACCCCATAGTTACAGACTCAGCACCAGCACCAAGCTCGTGAACTTGCACAGCTGTAGACACAGAGGTCTGAGCCGAAAAGCTCTGGCACTGAATAGGTAGGTGAGGTTTCTGAGTCCCTGACAGTGGCCCCAGTTTGGGTGACTGACTGTGTACTCTGACTCAGCAGAGTATGTTGGAGGGTGCCTCTTACTCCTGCATGCATTTCATGGGGTTGAATATGTGGTACTTAGATGGCTAGGTGGGGTCGTGGCCAAAAGTGGGTAGAAAACCCTGAAATCACTCAGTCCTGATCCCATCCCTGGCTTCATACCCATTCTTACCTCTGATTCTAACTCTATCACTGTTTTTTTGTTTCCCTAATGATAATCTTAGATTACATCACTATGAAACCCTATAAACTTTAGAAAACAGAAGAAACTCAGAAAGACACAAAAAGCAAAATCTGTTACGCTTTCCTCTTACCACCTCATCTCACTAGTGAATACTGATGGAGAAAAGCTCCCTGTCCTTGGGCAGCCTTTTAACATTAAGGTTAATTGTCCTTTTCCTTGCCATTGTCTGCTCATTTCATCCAGCACAGTCTGGGAGTTCCCGTCAGAGTTGGAGAAGGCTTTAGTCTAGCGATGGGTGCGTGGTTCTGTCCAGTCAGCGTGGTGCTGCAGGGCACCACAGGCCACCAGCTCCTTATCTCCAACTGCCAGCCTTCAAATGGCATACAAAAAAGAATGTTTGGGGTGTTTTTCTATTTTTTTAAGGACCAAGACCACACATAATTACAGATTAAACTAGCAGTATAAAAATACTACAGAACCAGAAGGATAAATGTATTTTTTTTTAAAGCTTGGAGGATTGTTACTGAAAATCCCAGTAACTAAGAGGTTAAAATGGACATTACTCCTCCTCGTTCCCTTTCTGCCGGCCTGACACACACCTACATGTGCCTTCAGACCCTCCACATCATGTGAGAGGAGGCAGCACTTTGGACAGTCTGCGTGTTGGCATAATGTAGTCAGCTTTTTATGGAAGGGAGGTTGGAGGTGTAGGTGTATCGACAATTTTGCTCCCCCTCAAAAATGTCTTACTTATATATAAAATATGTTTCTAAGTGGAATAATGTGATGTCCTTTGGGAATGGCAGAAACACATGTTTGTGTTGTTTTTACTGTTTCTGTATAAGATGTTAACGCGTGAAGGAGCGAGTAAAACTAGCACCTAACTTTGCTCGGGGTTTTTACTTCACTCTTGTGCTGGAGGCCAGCACACTGGAAGTTTGAATGAGAAAGTCAGCCTTTTCTTCTAGAAATTGCCAAACTCAATTTCTTCTTCTGTTTTGCTTGACATGTAGGCATTTAGGAAAATTATTTCATTTTAATTCAGACAAGCCAAATTTTGCAAACGTTTCTGCTGTAATTTCAAAGTGCACACCAGGTTAGAACCTCTAAAGTTGTGGTACCCCAAGAGTATAGGCTAAACTCTAGGCTTTTCCAGCAAAATTGACAGATTTTTATTGAAAGAGGCTCTCAAGTAACACTTTGCATGGGGCTCTGGGTTGTGGGAGGAGCAGGAGTTGTGACTGTGTCTGTAGGTGGGACAAACTGGATTAACAGTGGAAACACTGCCGTCTGAATATTTAGGTTTGCATGGAGGCATTATCCAGACTACCTGACATATTCTTTGTAAATGGTAACGTCTTGTGGCCACTGTACATACTCCCTTCCCCTCTGTGACAGCAGAAGGCACACTGAGGCCTGTCCATACCTGCCCCACTGCCCAATGGCTCACAAGGGGAGCTGCGTGCAGGCGCACCTGTCGCGGTCTGGGGCGCCCAGCTCTGATCAGTGCTCCGCACCTTGCTCTCCACCGCAGAGACGATGCTTGCTTTTAATACATTCTGTCCCCTGTATCCTCCCCTACAATTTCTGATAAAACAGGAGTAAAAATTCTGATCAGCAGATCTGACTTAACTTTTATGCTCTTGTTAGTTGACTTTATATGTGAAAATTGGGATTTCTCCTAGTCAAGGCTTAGTATCATGAACAGCCATTTGGGCTGCATTTTAAGCAGCAAGCTCGCTCCCATTCTGTGACATACTGTGTGGACAGCAAACCTCGTGGGATGTCAGGCAGTCACTCTGAAAGCAAATGCTGCTGTAGTTAAGTAAGAAATACCTTGTAATTATATGGGCTTCCCCTCGCTGGTCCACATTACAGAAAAAGGAGGGAATTTGACATCAGTGCTGACATCAGTTTTGGAGAAGAGAGAAGTCAGTTTGGGCTGGTCTTCAGGCTGCTGCCCTCGCTGAGCCTGCGGCAGGGCTGTAGGTCCGGGACTGGGACTGAAAAGCTGACTGTGGTTGGTGTTTCTATTAGAATATTTGCCTCAAAATTGACTTCCCTAGGTCTTAACGAGAAAGGACATATTAGAAAATCTACTTGGTGTTTTTTAATAAAGTACCAGTGCCCATTGTCAGACTATCTTTACTTTCTTTGTATGTTTCTTATAATCAAACCTCTTTGAGATGTCAACTCTAAACCTTTGTGTTATGAACAGTTTTAGACGAAAGATGATCATTTCTTTACGTATAGTAAAAAATACGGTTTTGTGACTGTTTCACTAGTTTCCCTAAGAGGCAGTTGGCAGGTGAGGTGAATGACAGCAGTTAAGTGTTTGTATCCAGTGAGTTCCTAAGCCTAGTAAGATTTTTCTTTTGGCATGAGACACTGCAGTCCTTTCTGAAATAAGGTTCACAATACCATTCACTCATTGACCATTATTTCATTTAGTGGAAACCTGGGCCAAGAGGATTACATAGAAAATGGTGGTGTCTTTTTTTTTTTTTAAAAAACAACCTTAAGAATAATTCTCAGATTTTCTTTTTGATTTTTTTGGCATGTGTATGTGTGAAATTTAGGCCAAGTTGGATTTGTCCATTAAACTTACAGCTAATGAATGAGCCTCTGCTCTGGGCCCTATGTTGAAAACTGAGGCTCAGTGAAGAAGACAGAGTTCTTGCTACCAGGAGCTCCCAGTTGGGGTGGATAGATAGGGGACATAAGGTGGCATTGGCAGTAATATAGCCAAGGACACCTGGGAGCCCACAGGAAAGGTGTCTGACACAGTAGTGGAGAGACTGATGCCTAAGATGGGACTTGAAGGAAAAATAAGAGGTACCCAATGCCTGTCAAAGGTGCTGGGCCTCCTGGGAGAAGGGGTGGGGAGATGAGTGCCTAGAGCACATGAAGACCATATCCAAATGTAGGGGTAAAAAGAGGCAAGGTGAGTGCGAGGACCCTGAGGTTCTCCAGCTCAGCGGCACATGGCCTGTATGTCAGAGCCCTCGTTCTGGAGCCCCAGACCAGAGCTGCCGAGTCAGCCTCTGGGATCTGCTTCAGGTGATGGCTGATCCAAGTGAGGACCCTGCTGTGCGATAGGTGTGTGGCCCATGCTCCAAGCTCTGCACTTGCATTCTGGGGTTTTGGGCAACTTTTGGGGGATCTTAATTAGGGAGAGCAACCTGATCAAATTTTCATTTAAAAAAGCTAAAAGCAAAAACTGGCATTTACTTGGAAAGGTGCTTGGATGGAGTTGAGACTGAAGACGGCCTGACCAGGGGTGCATCAAGGGACAAGAGGCCCCCGCGAGTCGAGGGGCAGGGGTGCTGGTGAGGAGGCCGCTCTGGGGCACAAGGAGGCCGCTCTGTGAGCTAGAAGGGCTTCTTCCCACCTCTGCTCACTTTGCCGAGGAGGAAGAATGGGGTTCATGCAAATGGCATATGGTGATTAGTAATTCCACAGTGCCTCTGTTCTGGGGTATTGCCGCCAGCTTTTTGAATTGTCTCACGTAATAAGAGTGAATCATAATAAAACAGTGAATTTAAGGCTAGAAAGGACTATCATATCTGCACAGTTTTCCCTGAATGTATTCAGGATCATTGTGCAAGTGGGAGGAGAAGTGGGGAAGGACACTGCAGGAGCTGCTGGGTGGTGAGCTCTGTGCGCCCATTATTGTTTACTCACCCAGATCATCCCACCAGTTCCTTCACCTCAGAGGCCACTGTTCTTGTTGGAATGAATGGATGACCTGTAGACTGGAGAGTGGGGGCTGACTGCTGGATGTTTGAGGTCACTCTTAGTAACTGTGGAGGTTAAGACTCATCATGCTTACCAGCTTGGGTCAGCCTCCAGCAGGGTGGCGTCTGTTACACTGCTAACCTGGTGACTTGTCAGCACTCATGTGCAACTGCCTTATGTCTGCTTTATCCAGGTGGCTCCAGCACCTGTCCTGCTGTCAAGGAGTGGTTTGTCTACTCTGGGAACCCTCTCAGGCACCCGGACCTCGTCAGGCCTCTGCCGATGAACATTCCAGGTACAGACAGCCTTGACTCAAGTAAATCAGTTGGACTTATAAGTCCAATAATGGATCCAATGTGGAAACATATTTTTCCAGATCTGTACGTACAGTAATTTTCATCTCAGCCTGGGCCCAAGAGAAATGTATTTATCTAACAAAGGTCTAAAACTCCCCAGGGAGGCATTACACCCATACCTTGGAGAAGCTTTGGTCTCAGTTCCAGACCACAGCAGTAAAGCAAATATCACAATAAAGTGAGCCAAGTGAATTTTTGGTTTCCTAGTGCATGTAAAAGTCATGTTTACACTTATACTATAGTCTGTTAAGTCTAAAAAAACAGTGTTGATACCTTAATTTAAGTATACTTTATTGGTAAAAACATCTACCCACTGCTGGGCTTGCAGCAAGCTGTAGTCACCGATCACAGATCACCACAGCCAGTGTGACGATGGGCAAGTTTGAAGTACTGCTCGAAGCCACGTTGTGCCACAGAGACCTGATGCAAGCAAATGCTGTTAGAAAATGCTGCCGGTGGACTCCTGATGGGGTTGCCAGGACCTTTAATATGTAAAAAAGCAGTCTCTGTGAAGCTCTGTTCAGCAAAGCGTGATAAAACAAGTGTGTCTCTGTGGATCACCCTGGTCCTGCGTGCTGCACTAGCTGCCACTCGCCCTGTATGTACCCTGCTCAGGCCCATGCCGGGGGTGGGGCTGGGCACGAAGGGAGCATGCTGAGGTCAGAGCCGCTGCTGCCAGATCCTCAGGGCCTGACACCAGCATGTTCCACAGCAAATACGCACTGAATTAATAGGACTGGGTTCTTGATACTCTTCCTTGGTCAACCTTTACCTTCTCTGCATTTATGAAAGTTTATTTTGATGAACAGAAAGGGGAGATAAAAGAAAATTATCCTAACTGGCAAAATAAGTTTTCTTTTCATGAGAGGCATCTTTAACATACAGTGGGTAGGAAGGAAAAAGCAGAGTTCACCTAAAACTTAGTTGAAGTAAGTCTTTTTTTCCTACATGTTCATAGCGTCTGAAAAGTCAAGCATCTGACTAGAAATCAGTATTCTGCACAAAGAGGATGCTTCAGGAGTACTTTTAGCAGCCCTTGTCATTGTTTTAGAGAACAAATATTTTTCTAAAATTTTGATACTCCATTTTTGTATTTGTTAAATTCTCTCATGGCACCTCATTTCCGTCACACAGGCCTATAATTTACCAAATAAGGCTTTGAGCACTGCAAAGTGTTTTTCTTAAAAGTGGAATTGCAGTAGGAGAGAAGTTGAGGAAGTTATTACAGGAACTATTTCCATATTCTCTCAGTCAGTGATACATTCAAACCTAAAAAGATACTTATTACAAAGTGAAGATGAATTGACATTTGTTTTTACAGCAAGCAGTGTTTTTAAAAGACAAAAGAACTTTTCAGAAATGTTTGTAATATAATTTCCATCTTATAGTGCCTTTCCGAAAATAATACAGAAAGGGATTATTATAATTCTCCTCATGCTATAATTAAGGAGAATACTTGTCTCTTCATCATTATATTATAAGCTAATTCTAAAGGCCACTCCGTGTAATGTTTTAATAAACTCTAGAAGTCAAACTATCAGAGGCACTACATTCTCCTTGGCACTGCTGGAAGTATGGCGCTTATGCATGTGGCAGCCATGGACCACATGCCAGGGTCCTGATTCTAGAAGTAGCTTGAGAAGCTGGGCCTGCATGGAGGGCCATATCCAAAGGCACGTCCATCCTCTACCTGAGTAAACTGGAAACATGATTTTGAGCTTTTGTTGCAGACGATTTATATGAATGACTGTTTGTGTATGCTTATATTAATAATGATTCAAGAATGACAAGAATTTAGAATTTGAATGCTTTTCTATAACCATGAGGAAAAATGCCAAATGGTTTTTAGACTGAAATGAAAGACAGACCATCAGATTCCTGTCCATGGTATTTTCTGTTGCTCAAATCATGTGTGATTTGAAACTGGAGTCCCTGACAATCCTCTTCTTTCACCTCATCCCAAGAGTCTGAGACTTGCAGGACCTCCCACTTGGCTGCGATGCACCAGCTGCAGGATGAGAGCTGCAGTGTCTGAGTCAGACGGTTCTGCTGTCGCCATTAGCTTGGGCATTACCTTAGCGACCTGTGTTGGGGTTCCCTTGTTCTCCTGAGATGGTTTTAGGTTGGTCTCATAAACGTTGTATTTTCAGTGAGTGTCCCAATATAGTGGCCAGAGTGTTCTTTCTTAAAAAAAGATTTTTTCCTTTAACAGCGCATATGATTTAATGCTTGCTTTCTTAAATGGTAAAAATAAAGAAATCACAGGTATTTTTGAACAAAGTGAAAAGGTGACAGAAGTGGGGGGAATAAAAATTAGAGAGTAGTTTCTTTAATCCCCAGAATTGGAGATTCTTCTTTAAACAAAGTATAGATGAGTCCCCTCCCCCCACCATCCTCAATGTCACTGTTTAGGCATTATAACCACTCCCTTATTTTAGAAACCTTGGAATGCTGATGGCACATATCTAATTGGCCATTTGTCTGTCTAGAGTGATTTTTTTTAGTGTTGTTCCAGAATTGGTTCTTGGCTATATAGGACGTTTGATTCACCAGAATCTTGCAAATTGTCTTAGAGGACTGTTTTACAAAATTAAGTGAGATGAGGTGATAATTTCATGAAAAGAAGATGCTGTATTTGACCGCTTCCATCATTTGCCAAACAATTGTAGTGAAGTTTTCCTGTTCACCTTGACACCTGATGCACACAGGTGAAGAAAGTCTTGTGGAATCTTAGGGGTTTCTGTGGGCAGTATATAGAAGCCACCAACTGCTGTCTGTGGCCCCCAGCCTCTGGACCTGCCTGCCTGACGTCATGAATCAAGACAAATGGATTTATAACCTCAATAGTGGTTTTTCTTCCATTTTAAAAAATAATTGGAGGCTTTGTCAAATAAATGTATTACAAATACACATTTGAGTCACAAGCCAGTAGTTGAATTTTACAGTGTTTTATAGCCATAGTCACTATATTTTGAATGCCTTAGATAGAAGCATATAACAGTGTCATTTTACAAGCACAAAGTTAGACGCCTCATCCACGGAAGTGTAGAATTTACTACCTTGAGATGGTACTACATTCTCCTCCATTTATGTCTGAGTGGATCTTTTTGCTTATTATAATGAGGCTATTGAAGTTCAGCCAGCCAGAGAAAGGATTCTGTTGACATGTGGGTCAGCAAGCCTTTTAATTTTGTTTTCTTTTGGCCAGGAATGCCCTACGAAACAGAGAATGCTAAACAAAGATTCATTTAATTCACACGTATGAATTAGAACCTTTACAGGTAAATTTGAGACATAAGATACATGTAAATTAATTTCCAGAGACTTAACCTCTTATATCCTGGGAGTGGACACAAGCCAAATAGTTGTATGGTTTTTCTCACCATAGGAATATGCAAGGAAACAATCTGTTAATTCACTTATGTTTATTACTGTAAACACAAACGGGACCTTTGATTTGCTACTAATGGGGCGCATCCAGCAACTCCCTACCCAGAAGCTGGGTCCTTCCAGGCATTTCTGGAGACATTCTTCATGGGTGTCAGTTATGGAGACGACCTTTTTCCCCACCTCTTTGTTCAGCCCTGTGGGGCTTGGTCCCTCCTGGAAAGCTCTTAGGCTTTCCTGTCTTATTCACATGAAAACCTTAACCAGGTTATATAGTTAGATTTTTTAAGCTGATTCATTTTAGATGTGATGCTAGTTGGGGACCTAGAGACCAGGTTGCTTGTTCAGGTCTCTGATGGTTCTTTGAAACATCTTGGCTGCCCATGGAGCTCTGGGTGAAATGTAAGGGCCACTCTTGATCTTTCCTGGTGAAGTCTGTCTTCACGATCCTAGCTAAATGTGAGTGTGTGCGCACATCTGCCCACGCAGTGTGAAGAGAAGAGCTCTCTTCCATGCCTGGTAGTTTCAGGTGCCCTCCTTTGAGCTGACCTACCTTCTGGTTCTGGTGAAAATGTGTTTCTTTTAAACTGAAATTACTAACAATTTCCTGTGTGTTTGGTAGGCTCAGCCCTCTCACGTTGTCACACCAGAGTTATAAACTACTTTGCTTAGAGTGAATTTACGAGTAGAAGAGAACTAGTCTAAAGAAATTCATACCTTCCTGGCTTAAAATGGTGACTGGAAATCTATCAGCTGAGAAGTAGATCTTTGTGGACAGGAGGAGCTGACATTCTCCTGCACTTAGGAAGGAAGCAACCTTATGAATAAGGCCTTTTTGTGGAATCCTGAGCATGTCTCGGTGTGTTTCAGTGATATACTCCTTGTGGCATAAAACAACAGTATCGTCAGAATATCTTATCTTCTATTAAAGGTGAAGGCCCTCACATTTTGGAAAAAGCTGTAGACATCTTACCTCCTATACTAATATACAGATATGTCCAGACTAAACAAATTACTGATAGAATTTTAGGAGCTAAATTCTAAGACATGGTTTTTCCTGGAATCTATTATATTATTAGACCTTTTCAGGGATTGATTTCTTAATTATTGGTAAGTTATTCTTTTTTAGTCTGTGTAAGTGATTTCTTAGCTGTATTTTTGGAGAATGTTGGGAGGTATTCAAACTTTGCCTGCATGAGAATTACTTTGGGGATATATTTAAACAGATTGCTGCTCCCCACCTGTAAAAATTCTGATTCAGTAGGTCTGGGGTGGGGCACAAGAATGTGCATTTCTAACAACTTCCCAAATGATATGGAGACTATTAGTTTGATAAAAGATACAGGGGAAAGAAGGAGAGTCACCCATTTCAGAAGTTGCTTACCAGGTGTTTGTTCACTGCCTCCTTGCTGCGTCAGAAGGCTGACACCTGAAGAAATCTTCCCAGCCATTCGCAGGTACTGAACCTGCCATTCTGGGTGCAGTGCTGGTTCCTGGGAGCCTCCACAGAGGCCTCAATGTGAAGAGGGAAGAAGCCAACCATCTGGGTGCTCCCTCCCCATCTCTCCCCCTGTCCATCTGGGTCTGCCCCAGGCCCCCTCAGGTCCACCAACTTCTTCCCGCCCCATATGCCCCCCACCCATGCTCCTCTGCAGCCTGAGTTGCCTCTCAGAGCACAAGCTTGACTAACTGGCTACCCCTTCGGTGCCTTCCCATCACTCAGGGTGCAGACCTTTGCAACCCATGTCTCCCTTCCCTTCTCCGTCATGGTGAATTCCTGCTGCTCTCATATCTCTCCCTCCAGTAACCCTTGTGACCCTCCCTCTCCCCCAAGTCTGTTCCTGTGCCGCTGCTCTTCCTCAGCAGAGCACCTCTGGTGGGTGCCTGGGTGCTCCCGATGGTGGACACAGCTTTTCTCCAGCACCTGCTGTGATGGCCAGCACATGGCATTTCCCCCAAAGCAGGTGTTGAGTGTATGTTTGGTGGGATGTTAGGACAGTTGGGCAGGAGGGGGAAGCAGGAAGGGTTTTACCAGATACCCACTGCTGCCTCCTTGCCATCCCCAGATCAGCGCCTAGATCAGCGGTTCCCAGCCACCCCTTCCATGTAGACACCCTCAGCAGCTAAGCTTATTGCCCTTTGACCTTCAGTACTCCCCTGGTAAGAACTCCATGGCCTGGTATCACAGTGTGTTTGCATGCCGGCCACCCACAAGCTCTTCCAGACAATGACCGTTCGTTCCGCTTTCGTGTGGCGCTTCTTGGGACCTGGCAGCAGGCCCAGAATCCTCTCTCATTGGACAAACTCGGGAAGGTATCTTACCTGGCAATATCTTACCTGGATATTTAAGTCCATTTCACCCAGTTTTGTCCCTATTGGGAATGAATAACGGGCCACAAGCACTGTCACTATTTGTTTACTCAGGAATCTCACCTTTATCACTGCTGCTGTAGTGGCTTGGCTCTGAATATATTTCACGAATCTCAATTTTTGTATATTAAACTCTCATGCATAAGCAAGTGAGACACGAGGTAGAATCTTTCCACTGTCCATCTCATGCTCTAATGGGGGCTTGGCCTCTTACCTGTGCTCATAGATGTTTTATATGCATTGAAAAAAGGACTGAAAGCTATATTCTAAAATACAGTTATATCCAGGGGTAGGATTGTTTTTAGGTAGATTATTTTTATTTTATTTATGCTTCTCTATCATTATAAACTTTTTATGATGAATGACTTAGAGTCAGAAAAAAATGTTTTTCAGCTGCTTTATTGCATTTGAAATAAATATGATAATGGAATATCCATCACTTACCTTGGATTGGGGCTTGGCAAACTTTCTGTAAAGGTGAAATAGTAAATATTCTAGGCTGGTCTCTTGCAGCTGCTCAGCTCTGCATTTAAAGTGCTCAAAGAGCCATAGACAATATGTTAAATAAATAAGTGTGGTGGTGTTCTACTAAAACTTTATAAAGGGACATTGAAATTGGAATTAATATAATTTTCTCATATTTTGAAATACTATTTTTCTTTTGATTTTCTTTAATGATTTAAAAATGTGAAACCCATTCTTAGTTTGTAGCCTGTATTTGGATTTGGCTGGTGGGCTGCAGCTTCCTGACTCCTGAAGAAAGCCCTGGGATGTGTGTCTCTGAGCAGTGGCAGCTGACCCTTTGATTATCATGGAATAACATCTCTGTCTTGATGAGGAGTGCCTTGGATTTTTCCCCCTAGTTATGATTTTCAGCATTTTCTTCCCTTCAAGAGAAAAGTGATTATTTTCCTTTCCAAAATAAATTATGAAAAATTTTTATTGAGGTGTCCAAATATCATGTACATGGAAAACTTTAAAAAGGCAAATCTCATTGACCTTTACAATTTTCATCTATAAACTAAGTGTAAAACTGATTAAAAAAACAAACCGTTTCAGCATTTCAGCATTTCATAATGCACGTGACTTTTGCTGGGTCGTTTTGCTTCTGATAGGAGAAATGCAAACTGGGTATATTAAATGACAGAAATGTTGAGGGAAAAAAGAAGAGCTTCGTTTTCTGTTAATTAATTCTGATGCTGTCTGGTCGGTGTGTTTGTTTCGTAGTAAGCATGTGAGACCTTTAGATCCTAGCCCTCCTTGAGGTCAACCGTGTGTTACAGCCAAGTGACCGTCCAGCAAGTCTCAGCTGCCGCTCACACAGGGCCTGGCTCAGCCCAGCACTGTCAGCGGACAGAGCAGGCTGCTTCAGACCATGCCACCTTTGTTAGGGTTTCAGTGAGCGAGTGAGGGGTTTTTCTTTTCTTTGATTTTAATAATTTATATGTATGTATAAAATACAGAAGTGAATCACCAAAAAGTATATTCTAGGAATTTCTGTTTGTTTAGTAGTTTTAGGGATGTGCTTCCCAAAGCATGGACCCCATAGACCCAGGTCTGTAGGTTACTAAATGCAGACACTCCCCTGCTCCCCCCTCTCCTCCTCCCCACCCCCTGCACCACACCTAGCACAGCAGAATTTTTGCATGTAGAACCCAGGAAATTGCATTTTCTATAATCTCTGCAGCTTATTATTTTTGCACATTAAAGTTTAAGACCGCTGGTCTAGGGCAGTAGAGAGCAAGCTAACAAGATAAATTTGGGGTGTTTTAGTCCAGCACTTTGCTGAATTCCATCTCACCCCCTGAGGCAATATCTTTGAAACATCCTTCAAAAAGCATTCTTATTATAGGATACAACACAAGTAGGAGAAAAGCCCTAATTTCCCCTAAATCGTATCATTAAAAAAAATATTTTCAGTGAAATATGTGTATGCTGGCCTGGCCTTTCAGGGTCTTTGTTACCAGGCTTTGTTAATGTTGACTTCCTAGTTCCTTTAAGCTTTAAAGCCCAAGGTTGTCAGGAGGGGGAGATGTTAGTGTCCTCACACTTCTACTGTATTTCTGCAAGAATCTTATTATGACTTGCTAGTGCCAAGAATAATGGTGGATGGGCTCTTTTTGACCAGGGGGTATGCCGAGTTTGAAGCTGCTGTGGCTGAACCAGGAGCCAGGAACACAAGACCGACGCTTGGACACGCTTCTTGCCTGCTTTGACCTTTCTTCGTCCAGAGAAGAGCTGCAGGCGGTGGAGGGCCCCTTTCAGGGTCTGTGCTGTATCCTGATCTACCTCTTTGTCCAGGTAACCTCAGCTCCTTGCTTGGGCTGTCCTTGTGCTTGACCCATGCTTTCTGAGCTGCAGTGGTTCTGCCATCCCAGCCTCATCTTTGTGCGGCATCCCTTCCATGAGCACTAGTCCTCCGAGATGCTCTGAGGTCAAAGTGAGAGCCTGTGCTGCAGCCTTAGAGCTTCGGAAGGCATGTAGTGTAGCAGAGGCTTAGACATCTTGTGTAAAGGAACCCGCCTTCACTTTGCCTGAGCTTCCCAGGCCTTTCTGACCATGGAACACCTCCTGTTGTGTCACTGCTGGGCTGTTGTTCCAGTCCCTGGGGTTTGGGATGGATGGGGAGAAGGCCAGCCCTGCAGTCCAGCTGAGTGGCTGGAGGCCCACCTATCCCTTAGTAGCTCTGAACTTCTGGGTAAATCACTTCAACTTTCCTAAGTCTTAGTCCTTTGTTCATCTGACATGTTTCTTGAGCACTCTACCTTGGTTTTCCAGCCTGAGAATGAGGTAGCTTCCTGGGATTGTTGAAGTTGAATCATATTATAGAAAACATGGGGATGATTATTTTGCAGACCTGCCTGAAGAGGCGTCTGCCATGCCACATCCCGTCACCTGAGCGTTGTAAAGGCCGATGAGGTTTGCCTTTCTAATAGTTTTCCACATACTTGATAAGTTTGGACACCTCAGTAAAAGAAGGGCTAAAGACCTCCTATTCCCAGCCCTTTCTTCCCACTTCTTTCCAAGCTGTATTATTTTTAAATGATTTTTGTCTCATTCTTGTCATAACAACAAGAAAAAGTCCTTCACAACCAAGTCTATTTCGTCAACTCTCTTGACCCCTTCAGGCTGTCTTGTGTTATACTCTGATCTCTGTATCAGTGGATCTTGGATCTACTTTGGCATGACCATCAAACTTTCATTTGCCTGGAATCAAAAATTAAGTGATTCTGTTTTTCCAACCTGAATTCACTTTCTGAATTGTCAGTTGTCTTTAAGAAGCTTACTCTTATTGTAGAATTATATTTCAAGGGAACTTACCCTGATTTTTCCTTTCTAAATGTTCTCTTAGCACTGCTGTTCTACAGCTAGTCCTACATTTTGCATTTGTAAAAATGTGGTTTGGCTAAATAACTTAGAGATTTTATTGCTTCATTATTGGTTTCACTTGTACCATTATAAACTTCAGTTTTTACATTACTATTTTGGGGAAAACCTTTCTTTATTTGCACTAGTTAGCACGGTATAAATTAATAGGGAATGGTAGGATTAAAAGAAGCATAAAAGTACATTCCTTTTGATTTTATTTAATGTACATATATATCATCGGTTAATATCTTCTGTCCATTATTAATCTACACATGACTGTGGCTGAGGTTGAGCCGTAGTGGGAATTGGGAAGTGGTGGATAACCAATAGCTGAGTTTCTCATCCAGAAAGTAAGTGTGCTTTCTTCTCAGTTCTGTCTGCGTGAGTAACGATAGCCTGGGTTAACACTCTGAGCACACGCACTGTGACTGGCTTCCCCTCAGCAGAGATGCTGAGCCCGCTTGCCGTTGCTTAGTGCAGCTCTTGTCTGTGACACAGGCCAGTCTGCACTTCCAGCAAGGAACACGCAGATCACAGGAGAATAGCGTTACATCTCACATATCTATATGAGCCTGAAGCAGGATAAGCAGCAGGAGGAAAACTTCCAGTCTTGCCTTCTCTCTTCTAATAATTAACTAATAAGTAAAACTGTCTTTGGGGTACGGCAGCATGAGAAAGACTTACAGTGGTTTGACTTCAGAGGACACTTTGACACTGGAACATCTTAAAACTAGAAAAAAACAAATCAACTTATAGGGGGCACCCTTTAGTTAAGAAGGGGCTATGTTATTCATGGGAGTAATTTTTCTCTCAGGATTAATAAGGCTAAAAAGATAAATTTATAAAAATATTATACTTTCATATAGTTAAGCTCAGATTAGGTGTTTTGATGTGCAATGTGAGATAAAATTATATACTGTTTATGGTCAACATCTGCAGAGAAATGAAATGCTGTCACTCAGTCTAAACTCCCAGTTAACTCTAACACCATTTATTAAAAGCATATGTAAGAAAATTCTCTGTAGGGTAAGTTTATATCATAGAAGTGTAGATATTTTTTATAATCTATAGTAGAATAAATATTTTATAATAATAACATACATTATGTGAAATTCTTAAAAGATGGAATTAACTAAAGTCTGGCACCCTCTGATATGTTTTAGATGGGTTAATTACAAAGAGGGTAACAGCATGAAATTGGCCAACTGAAAAATGCAAGTGAAATATTGTAATTTTTTCATAGGTTGGTGTTAAGAAATTGGCCTCTTCAAAAGTCGCTGATGGAAGAGGCCAGCCAACCTCAGTCTAGGTGGTAAGAGATGGGGTTTATGGATTTAAAAACCTGTTCTCTGCCTGGCCCTCCCCCCGCAGATGGGACTTTTTCCTTGGCTATGAGTCTGTACATTTGTGGACTTTGTTTTTCTCTGAAATAGTTGTAGCTATTGTTTAAACAAGGCGACAGCTGCTTCGGAATAGAAGCAAAGTAGGTGATGCCAGGTCGGGAAGAATGGCGGCAGCCCGGCAGCGCTGGTGTCTCCGTGGGGTGGAGGAGTTGATGCGGGAGCTTTGCCCGGAGACACCCACCCTCCCTGGGGAGACTGATGCTCACAGCCGGGCTAAGGGTCCCTGTGAAGAGTCCTCCAGATGTATGGGGGTCAGTTTTATCAGGAATAAGCATATCAGCCAATTTTATCCTGCAGGAAGAATCAAAATTGTTATCCATGTGTTTATTATTGTTTCCCTGATTTTTTCCCCTCAAGCCTTTACTTGCTACAAAATACTTGTGGCGGCTATGGAATATTTAGCAAGTGGTACCTTCGTGGTTTTGTCTGGCCAGCAAAATTTTGTGGGTGAGCTAGCAAAGTCACTACCTCATCCTCGTGTGAGGAGGTGGTGAGGAGAGACCTGGCTCTGTGTCTTTGCTTTCCCATCCTCTCCACGGTTCCCCGGTTTACCTGAGACTTACCCCTGGCTTTGTCGTTCCCTGTGGCTCTGTGTCTCCTTGTTTTGCTCTCACACTTCTGTCAGACCTTTTAATTCGGTAGAGGATTGGAGGGGATTCATGCTTTGGGGATGCTGGTTTCCTTTAAACTGGGATCTGAGGACACAGATTTCATCTGGTGCTGGTGAGGGTGGGTATTTATTCCAGCCCTGAGCATGCCAGTGTAGGCTAGCTGTGGGTGCTCTGTCTGCAAACCCCTGAGATGCCGGCTCTGAAAATTTGTTCCAAAAAGTGATCACCTCTATTGCTCAAAGACTCAGACTTGGTCACAGCTCATAGTTCCTCCCAGGCTTTCTGGAGCTTCCTACTTTACTGTGGTGTAACCAGACCCTGCCCAGCGTGGCCCTGGGCATCCTGGAGAGCTTTGCACCAGGGCTATGGACATGAGAGAAGGGCCCTGCTCACCTCCACCTACATCTCTCCTCTCGCCCGCTGCCCAAAGTTGAAATGCACTATGCATGTGCCTGTGCTTAGTCCCTGAGGTCCATTTGCAAGTGCTGGATTTTCTCCAGGCTGACGCAGGGTTCTCTCTCTCTCCCTTTCAGGTGGACACTCTTTGCCTGGAGGACCTGCATGCTTTTATTGCTCAGGCCTTATGCCTTCAAGGAAAATCAGCTGTACAGCTTGAAGACTTGCAGGTACTGCCATGACTGACTGTCACTGTTCTGAAGACCACCTGCCCTGACCAAAGGGTCAGTGCCCTTGTCAGCCTACTGCTTTTGTCTTTCTTTTTAAATTTTGTTTGATATTTCACAGAAAAGTTCAAGAAGGCATATTTTGTCAGTGTGTTTTCATGATGCAGTGGTGATATTTATTTCTTGGTGGAAAACTCCATGGTCATGTCAGCTGTTTTTGAAAACTTAAGACTTCGCTTTGTAAATGCCATTGGGTAATAAGAACGAGTTTTATTTGAGTTTGTTTTTACTTGTCATCTAGTGAAAAAACTATTACCTTTCATTTATAGGCAACCTTTTAATCTAATCTCAGAACTCTTACATAGTGGGTTTAATCCATAAATTGTAGACCAATCAAATGAACAGTGCCAGATTTATTCTTTTGTATTAGCAGTTTTAGTAATCACTTTCAAAAAAAGTTATTTTTAAAAGTGGATTTTTCCTCCCTTTGGCAAAACACAATTTTAAAAATGAATTTTGAGTAATAGGTTAAATAATTCTTTTTTATTTATTTAGGTATAATTGATACACAACATTGTATTAGTTTCAGGTATACAGATTTTTTTTTGATTGAAGAAATATCATTAATATACAATCTGATATTGGTTTCAATATACAACCACTGAACACAGTGGTTCAGCAGTTACCTATATTATTAAATCCTCACCTCCACTAGTGCAGTTACTATCTGTCAACATAGCAAGATGTTACAGAATCATTGGCTGTATTCTCCATGCTGTGCTACCATGCCTATGACCAACTTATATTATTGAGAATTTTTGTGCTCTTACCTTCCCCATCTACCCACCCCAACCCCTCCCACGCAGTAACCACTAGTCTCTTCTCAGTGTCTATGTGTCCACTGCTGTTTTGTTCCTTTTGTTTCATTTTTAGATTCCACAAATAAGTGAAATCATATGGTATTTGTCTTTCTCCTCCTGGCTTATTTCACTGAGCATAATACCCCTTGGATCCATCCATGTTGTTGCAAATGGCAGGATTTATTTTTTATTTTAATACCTGAGTAATATCCCATTGTATATATGTACAACATCTTTATCCATTCATCTGTTGATGGACATTTAGGTTGCTTCATATCTTGGCTATTATAAATCGTGCAGCAATAAACCATAGGGATACATACATCTTTTTAAATCGGGGATTTTGAGTAATTCCTAAAAGTAGAATTAGTGGATTGTATGGTATTTCTATTTTTAGTTTTTAGAGGAACCTCTGTACTGTTTTCCACAGTGGCTGTACCAATTTACATTCCCACCAACAGTGTAGGAGGGTTCCCATTTCTCCGCACTCTGGCCAACACTTGTTATCTCTTGTTTTTTTGGATGGTGGCCATTCTAAGTGGTGTGCGGTGTTACCTCTGGTTTTGATTTGCATTTCCCTGATGAGTGTTTTGGAGCATCTTCTCACATACCTGCTGGCCATCTATATGTCTTCTTTGGAAAAATGCCTATTCAGATCTTCTGTCCCTTGTTTAAATTAAATTGTTTGGTTCTTTTGCTATCGAGCTATATGAGTTCTTTATATATTTTGGATATTAACCCCTTGTCAGATACAGGAGTTGCAAATATTTTCTCACATTCAGTCTGACTCTCTCCTGTTCAGTAGATGTGTCTTCATTATATTGATGGTGTCCTTTGCTGTGCAGAAGCTTTTTAGTTTGATGTTGTTCACTTGTTAGTTTTTGCTTTTGTTGCCTATGCTTTTCGCATCAAATCCAAAAAATACATTCAGGTAGCTTACCATCTGTGTTTTCTTCTTGGAGTTTTATGGTTTCAGGTCTTATGTTCAAGTCTTTAATCCATTTTGAGTTAATTTTTGTGTGTGGCATGAGATAGGGGTCCAGTTTCATTCCTCTGCATGTGGCTGTCCACAATTTTCCCAGTGCCATTTATTGAAGAGACTGTCCTTTTTCCCATTGTGTATTCTTAATTCCTTTGTTGTAAATTAATTGACCATGTATGCATGAGCTTGTTTCTGTGCTCTGTATTCTGTTCTGTTGATATGTGTGTCTGCTTTTGGGCCAGTACCATACAGTTTTAATTACTATAGCTTCCTAGTATAGTTTGAAGTCAGAGAGCATGCTGCCTCCAGATTTCTTCTTTCTCAAGATTGTTTTGGCTCTTCAAGGCCTTTTGTGGTTACATGCATATTTTAGGATTGTTCTACTTCTATGAAAAGTGCCATTGGTATTCTGATAGGCATTGAACTGAATCTATATTTTTTATATTATTAGTGTAAAGGAACAAAACTGATTTCTGTGTATTGATTTTGTATCCTGCAGTTTTACAGAATCCATTTATTATTCTGACAGTGTTTTGGTGCAGTCTTTAAACTCTTCTATATATAGTGTCATGCCATATGCAAATAGTGACAGTTTTGTTTCTTTCTTATTTAGATGCCTTTTATTTCTTTTTCTTGCCTACTCACGCTGGCTAGGACCTCCAGTACTATGTTGAATGAAAGTGGTGAGAGTGGAAATTCTTGTCTTGTTCCTGATCTTAGACAAAAACATTCAGCTTTTCACTGTTGAGTGTGACATTAACTGTTCACTGTTGAGTATGAACAGCTGTTAGCTGTTCTTCCTTTTGGCAAAACAGTTTTAAAAAGTGAATTTTTAGTTCTCTTTAAGTTATTATTAGTTCCCACCTCATGTCCTTCCTTCCAGGCCTCTGTCTTGCTACTGTCAGCCTGTCAGTTCCCTTAGCAGCTGCTAAGCTGCTTACATTATAGCCTGGGACCCTCACCTGCTCTCGTGTTCCTTCCCAGTAAGTGAAACAACCAGGCAGAAGGAGCAAAGAACTTAGAGGTCAAGCCATCTCCTGCTTCATTTACAGATGGGGAAACTGAGACAGTGTGGGCAGCAGAATGAGCTGGAGCTGGGGGTCATGCACGTCAGGGTAGGTTCTGGGTTCTGTATTTTGCTCGCTGCATGACCTTGAGCAAGCTCTTATGAATGCACAGGAGAATTACTTCCCCCTTTGCTAGATGGGGGTGCCATGTAGGCTTGTGGCCAGGGCAGAGCATGCACTGTGTGGGTCTTTGTTGGTAGTGAATACATGTTCCCACCTCCATTCTGTTATTGGCAGAGCCAGAGTGGGACAGGTCTCTCAGCAGCCCAGTGTTCTTGCCTCTGCCCTTTTCCGTGAGGGTGCCAGGAGTCTGGAGGTCTTCAAGCGAGCGAACTTGAGCAGGAGCACCCCAGCACAGTGTCTCTCCTAGGCCTGTGTGTGCCAGCTATGGTATCCAAATGTACAGGTGTCTTCCCTTCATTTGAGCAAAATGGGGCCTGTGCCCACTGCTGCTGATCATAGGTCCTTCTGAGTGCCCGTTCTGGGCAGCCCCTGCTCTCCCAGTGCTCCAGTGGCTGTGCCCAGGAGAGCATCTCTAGGAGCACAGAGGTGTCTGACCAGCTGGAAACAGCACCATTTCAGCCTCCGCATCAATCCAGGGCTGTCCCTTCTTGTCTGCCCACGTTGGTTGTGGAGATGCCGTGAGAGGAGCGGGCAGGTCTCACCCCAGGGTCTGTCTCCCTCTGATGGCTGAGGAGCCTTAGCTGTGACTTAGGGCTCCTGGTGTCACTCTCACTGCTGCTCACGAGGAGTTTAAAAAATGCTCTATTAGTTTTTTAGTCTTGTTCCAACAGCTAAAATACGGGGTTAAAACAATACGTGTATTTACGTATGTATTATGATTTGTGATTGGATTATGGATGTGAAGAGCATATCACATATATACACACACATTCATTTACAGACATGGAAGTCTCCTAAATATGAAATCAAGGAATACAGGAACTCTTAATCCACAGTAATTATACAAAAGAAAAAAAAGGGAGGAAAGCAGTATTACTTATAAAAAAGAAAAAGAAAAAGGCAGCCATCTTTTGTAATGCGCGAAGGGCAGTCGCACAGGTAAGAAGATGGGGATCATCAATACCCAGCACACAGGGAGAGCCGTGCTGCCAGTAGGAAGTGTCATGGTGTCCTTGTCCAGCAGTGGCTCTTACACATTTTCTTGCTCACATCTGTAACATGGTGTGTGTGTTCTGCTTGCCATTCTAGAGGATATGGTCTGTTCATTGTACTTTAAACGCTCATGAGGTCCTTTGATGTTTGTGCATCCTGCATGGAAACATGCGCACACACTCAGAAGGTAGCGATGGACCTGGTGGTAGAACCTCTGTGGTAGGGAGGGAGAGGTCCCTGCTGAGCTGTAGACCCAATTGCAGGGTGAGGGAGTATGTGCAGAGCCCTCCTCAGGCAGCGTAATGGGGAGGGAGGTTCTCGGGTCCTCTGCCTGATTAATTAGCGACAGGATTGCTGAGGGTGGCGCATCACACGTCATGTGCATGTTCCTGTGGACAGTCGGGTGATTTTCTCTTGTCCTCTGTCCTGCCCTTTTCCAGCCGGTGCCAGTGATGTGTGGTGCCCTCCAGGGATCCTGGCCACGGCTCCGTCCTGCACACTGGAGCATCTAACTGGGGCCTACTGTGTATTTTTCCAGGATTGTAAAAGGGCTAGAAGTAGCCTGTTTGCTTACCCCATGGTATTGTCGGACTCGAGTATGCCCAGTGTTCTGTAAAGTCTTCTGTAAAACATAAGATAATAGGGTTGTCACTGAGACAATGTGCTATGCTGAGCCTAGCAGTGTGCTTCCCAGCCTGGCATCTGTACTCAGCCTGCTCTCAGAAGCATACTCGCTTCTACCCTGAGGGTCACCATGGTTCTAGATCTGCCCTTGCTCTCTTCTTTTGGGGAAGAGCCAAAGAAACCAGAGTGGCTTTCTTTGCTCTTGGTTTATCTCTGCTATGCTGGGTCCCTGGAACTAACAGAACCGCTATCTTCCCTACTGACTTTGACCCCAGCTTCCTTGCAGATGCTAGAACACCCAGATTCATCTTTAACATGCCAAGGGCCCAGGGAGCCCTGAGCCACCCCAGAGGC